CCTTTCCCAAGGACACAACGTCGGGCCCCTGACGGGATTCGAACCCACGACCTTACGGTTGCGAGTCCGAGAGCCTAACCACTAGGCCACCGACGCCACTATGGTCTAGGCCTAGATGTAGATCTAGATCTAGAAATTTAGATGCTATGCACTATCTATCATAAATCATATTAATTCATGTTATCTAGATCTAGAATCTTCTATAGTAGATGCTAGGTTAGGTCTAGTATAGGAGGCCTACCTATCAAGACAAAAACAATGCAATGGAGGCCTACAGTATAACACGGACTCGATTTTGTCTGGACTGGCCTCGGTAGTTCGAGGGATCCGTAGGTCGAGGGATATCTTACAAAGATAAAGAAGAACCTAAAATTAAACGAAATAGGCCTACTTAAAGCCATTCAACAAATATGCAAATATAGCACTAGCACACTCTTGAAAAATGTTACCCTGAAGTCTTCTACTGCTTGAAGTTTAAGACAAATGTTTTGCCTTTAAACTAGATATGTGCAGTAGCCTCATACTCATACCCTTCTCTTGTTTTTTGTTTTTGTTTTGTTTTGGTGCGTGCAATTGCATAAAAGGGCATATATATGAGCATGAGGGACACATTAAACATTTTCAGTTTTGTAGGAATTCATTTACTTTGAAATTTGCTCAGGTGGCAGCCGAAGCCTACTCTTCAGTTTTGAACCATACCCTTCTCTAAGGCTACGGAGTTACAATGTTTTGATATTATAATAAAGTAGTGACATACTGTTTTTACTTATACATTTTTGTCACACTCCTCTGATTACAAAATTTTATTAAGCTGTAGGTGGACAAAGGAAAAAGGAAAACATGTTTTCCACAAACACAGCAATGCCATTGCAATGCTCTTGAGAGAATAGTGCATAGAACTTTCAAAGACATGCCAATGCCATTGATTATATTCCCAGCTGGACACACATTTGAATATCAAAAGAAAAATCAATAGGGCCTACACATGCATGCCTATGATTTGAAATGATAAAACATTGTTGTTCTGTTTTGTTGAAAATACTGAAAGAATATGTTTTTTTAAATATATTTTTTTTTATTGCAGGTTGATAAACGTGCCAATGGCTTTTCGAAGGCTGTTACGTCTACATCCCCCTCTTCAGCTTCATGGTGGCCACCAACAGCCCAGTCTTTCAGTCTTATCTTCCAGATTTCTCAGCAAAAAGTACACATACAACTTGAATGAGCTCATTGCTTGGAAAAAGCAGACACAGCAGCTATTTGGATCTACAAGGAAACCTACCAAAACAGGAAAGTTGAAAAAACTGAAATCTGTAAATCCATCAGTGAAAGAGAATTTGGAAACCCTGAGTGCAGTATCAGAACAAAATAAAAACAGTAGCCTCGGTCAGAACAGTGTTTCTGCTGGTGAAACAATAACAAATAGAAAGCAAAAGGTGAAGCAATCAGCAGACATAATCGAAGATATTCCTGATGATCATTTTGTTTCCCAAGTATTTCCATCAGATGCTGTTGTTTTGAAAGAGTCTTTCAGAGATATTGAAAGAATTCCTGATAATATAATTCTTGATAATGGTGATTTGCTCAAAGACCAATCTCTTCCTGAAGTGAGATCTAGTAGTTTTTCACCCAGAACAGCTAGAAAGAAGACTGAGAGAAAGAATAAAGCATCCTCTAAGAATTATGAACCTTCTGAAGTAGAGACCACCAATGCTAGTCTTCATTCTGTCAAGAAACAAGAAATTTCTACAAAGCAAAGTCAAGAAGAGTTCACTGAAGATGGAATATTTATTCCAAAGATCCCACCTATTCCACAAGGAGATCAAAATTCATACAGTAGTACGATCGGTAAGAACAAGCAAGCTGCATCCTCATCATTGCCTGGCTCAGGTTCTTTTGTCAATAAGAGCACGACAAGTAGTGAACCAGTCGAGCCTCCTTCTTCTTTCGATATTATCTCCAAGTTTCCGCTTGTGCCAAATGATGAAACAAAGTGGGACTCGAAGAGCAAAGAATTCAAACATGATGTGGAGAGAATGTCTCTCCGAGTTTTGCCTTCTGTGAAGTCTATTCTTAACAAGACAATGCCGGACATGAACCGTTTCTTCCTGAACAGATGGCGGGAAAAAATGATCAATGAACTGGGAGAAGAAGGATTCAAAAAGCATCAAGAAGGTATTTGATGTGTGTATAAAATATCATTATTACATATACAATAACTGTTCTGCTTTTGCATGAATGTTGCAACTGCTTTGCAGAAAGTCTTATTCCGACATTTTTTTACAGCAGTTTTAACAGATTTAATTTCAATTTTGCGGCTCATAAATATATTTATTTCTCAATAGTTGTAGGTGTGAACAAAAGTGACAGGGGAATCACAAACTGCTTAAGGCAAACAATGTGACAGGTTAAATAGTAGTAAAATGAATGTTGTTTATAAATGATGTTATTTTGCTAAGATGGTTGATCACTCATCTGATGTTATTGTATATATCAACATCACGTTAAGAGTTATGATGACAGAATTTTAAAAAAATGTTTTTCATATTCAAATTTAATTTCTAAAATGATCATATTTAATCAAATTTGTTTAGCATTTAGATTGATTCAGTTTTCTGTTTGTTTTAGTTGTTATGATTTCCCGCTAAATTTTTTTTTGTGTGTGTGCTTTTCAGCCACAATTAAAAAAGGTGTGAACTTGCACGCCAACGTAATGGAGTTTCTGTCAGGCAAACCTCACTCAGAACTGCAGATTATGCCAGACAATGAGGGCCACTGGGCGAGTTTGCAAACAGCTCTGGGAGCATTGGGTGACATCAAGTATATAGAGGCAGAGATCTTACACCCTAACCTGTTGTACAGGGGTGTGTTTGACTGCCTTGCCCAGTACCGGTGAGTGAAGGAAAGCTGTATGGTAAAGCACAGAGAAAGTTCAATTTCATTTTAAAAAATCTATTAAATCTCATGAGGAGAGGGAAAAGAGACAGTCTTGGAGGAGGTTTCAATATTTGTTGACAATGTTGCTGTTTCTGCTTTGCCATGAAAAAAGAAAATAAAGAAGAGATTGCTTTATTCATATCAATTCAGAAACTCTTTACATATTGCCAGATCTTTTATTTTGACCCCTTGGTCTCAATCGCGTGTAATATGTCTTTATTGTACAAAATTGTGTTGGTTTTTTTTTTTTTACTAATTTACAGTTCATAGGCAATATGTTGAATATTTGATGCAGATCAGTTGAAAAAGAAAATAATGAGAGCCTATTGAAATTGAAGGTGGATATTAGTAAGAACTTTGTTTTGATAAAAACAGACAAACTTTTTGGCCAATATCTCAGTAGCACCCTAGTACCTTTCAAAACAAGTGTCGAAAATTTGGTTCTAGATGAAAAATCTTGCAGTAGGCGAGTTACCGCTATAGGAATGCCAAGGGGAATGACCGAAAAATGTCTAAAAATCCACTTGATTAACTCCCTTCCTTATCAATAAAATTTGCGCTTTAGATTAGTCTTCCTTTTCTTGTCAGTTTCGTTGATTATCTCTGCCTTTAATTCGAGTGAGAAGCATTTCCTTTTGTCTTCGTTGGCAATCAATGAATCAGGAATCACGCACTGCACGCTCTCCTCTTCCTTTACTTTTTGTCCTAGCCTATGCCTAGGGCTATTATTGAGTGTCTAGGCTAGCCTGTAGCACATCACTTTTGGAGTGGCTCTCGTAACGCGCCTCTTCGCACCATCTCTGTCTGCCGCCTGCCCCAGCTCACTCATCACTGGTCTGGCCAATCACAATGCCGCCCCGCTGACTGCCTGTTTGGATCCCGCCTACAGCTCCCCATCCCCCAATCCCCTTCCCCACAGCTAGAGCTCGCTCGATCCCTCCCCGGTATCCGAGTTTGGGCCTTTCCTTGCCCTGGTAAACCCGAGCCAAAGTAATTGAGTTTACATAGAGAAAAAAATGGGGGATTCTGTTAAGGTCCCGCTGTAGGGATGGTCCCACGCTATGGTCATGTTCTACTGTACTAAGACGTTATTATAAGATATGTGAGCAGGTGTGAGGAAGTCAAGAACTTGTCGCCTCTGGGCCATTTAAAGTTTTTGTGCTTTTCTGAAAGCTGAGATCTTCCTGATTATTATGCACTTAAAATTTCTCAATCATCTTCTCTAGAAGCGAAGATATTGCATTATGTTTTTAAAAAAATGTGAAAAAGAAAGAACTGAGAAAAACGTGTTCAAAGTTACACCATTATTTCTTTTTAATTTAAAATTGAATGGAAACAGAAAATAAGTTGAGAAAAAATATTTCAAAATGGTCTTTACAAGATACAGCTCTTGAATTATATTCTTAAATGGTTGGAGAATCCCAAGGGTATGCCTAATAGTAATAACTCAAAATAGACCAGAATTGAACTCATCAAATAATTTTTCCGATATTTAAGTTGGAGGTTTAGCTACAAATTCCTGATTTCCTCAGACCGGCTCACATCATATATGTACATAAAGGCTTACTCAGTAGCCTTATTTTTTAAGTTTCAATAATTAGCCAAGACAGTGTTTTTTAAATAATATTACTGTGAATGGAGTCCTTTGTGTACTCCTTTCATAATTCTTTAGTTTTATAAAACTGTGTTGTACTTTCCAGAGATATGTTGTGTGTGATTGACTGGAAGACGTCAAAACAGCCTCGACCACTGCTAAAGAACACTTACGATGATCCTCTGCAGATTGCAGCATACATAGGAGCTGTGAACGCTGATCCCAAGTACACCAGCCAGGTAGTAAATCTGTTAAAGATGTTCAGGTTGTTATTGTTGTTTTTTTCAAATCCCTTTAGCTGCAAGCATTTCGCGCTTGGCAGCGCAATGCCTCCCTCAAGTAACCACAAGTCCTTGTCATCTGGTCTCAACCAGAGTAGAACAGGCTTTGTAAGTCTGTAGGTGGGTGTGGGAGCCTGCGTCGAAGAACTGCCAGGTTTGGGCATTGAAGGAGAAGATATTCAACGGTCTCCTCGTGGTAGACAGTGCCTGCAATGGGGTTCCCACTTGGGGTTAATTCTGTTTATGTGCTTGTTGGTGTGTAAGTGTCAAAGATGTGCAGGCAGTTCTACTTGGGATTCTCATACCATCACTGTGTCAGTCAAGCTATCAAACTGTCACGTTATGACTTATGTATACTGCACTGGATAGGAGGGCTCTGACTTTTTCAATGTTTTGTTTTTCTTCTTTAGTCATATTCTTACCACTTTCAGAAAGGGTAGAAGAAGTTTTCAATTTTTTGGTTCACAGAGCATGCTCAGCTATGTTTAGAAGACTTCTTATCAAGTACAAGAGAATCAATTATGAAAATATCATTTAAAAATTTGAAAATTACTTTTTGGGGGGGGATGCTCTTCTATATATCCTGTGTGAAACGTTATTGTCTTGAGGGATTGAGGACTCACAGGGAGTGTTATTTGTGAGTTGCAAGCTCCTCGCTTTGTGGAAGTCACATGCTTAAGCTTAACTGATTTTGACTTTATTTTTGGGGTGGCATCGATCCTAATTATTAAAAGTTTTGAATATCTCAAATATGGCCTGACACAGAGACTTGCAATTTTTGGAATCAAGCTCTAAAATGTTTTTTTAAATTAAATTTTTTTTTTGTTGAGTCCTTAAAACCCATTCAATATCTTAACAAAAGCGTCCTCTTCAGTTGTCTCAACTCAGTATCATAATGGCCATAACCAGCTGCTGTGAGGGTAGCTACTACTAAGGCACTTGCACACAACTATGTTATACATGTGGAATTTTTCCATAGTTCTTTCCTTATTCTGATGAGCAGAAATTATTCTGTATGGAGCTGATAAGGTCAGTTTACTCAAATAAATTTTTCATTTTAAATGAACAGATAAGTTGATTGAACTGTGCTGCCAAAAATCAGCTGTCAGCTGCAGTCAACACAAAATGGCCTTTGAGTTTCTGGACAACCTTTTGGTGCTTTTGGCTGCTCTCGTGACTCAGAATATATACTACGAAGACACATCAAACCTTCACTCAACTGACACTGACAAAGCCATAAATGATGAATCTTACTATGGCAGTCGCAATATAATTTGTTTTTAATTTTAAGAATTACGATATTCAAGAGGAAAATTTCTTTTAAGTTATACGATAAACCCAATGCCCATTTTTATTCTGCTGCTAGCTGAATAGGTTAAGCTGTCTTATTCAGGCAGATGATTACCCAAGCACAGGTGTGTTTAGATACAAAATGTTTCATTTTGATTATTAGTTCAACCCATTCTCAGGAACAAATTTAAACTCAGGTTAATGATTGTATCTTCTACATGGTATGTGTTCTGTACCGGGTACCTATCATTGCCTATTACTTACTTATTTCAGAGTCACAAGATGTATTTTATATCTAAAATCCTCTTCCCACCTGCCATTTTTGTGCCTGATTTTGGTTTGACTTAAGGAGTCTTGGTCTGCTAATTGCCACCTTGATCTAGGTTCCACATTATGTCTATTTACTTTTGATCTAGAATCTAGATCTACATCTCATCTCTCCTTATCTAGATGACATTTATGACAGTATATATCTGAATTATCTAGTCTATCGAACTGGTGGAGAATCTTGCGAATTTGGTAGTGTATACATCTTTTGAAACAAAAAAATTACAAGTTTGTTAAAAATGGCATCAAGAAGCACAGGTAATGATCCTGTTTTATTGCTACTGGGGGCGCATTGAGTGGTCTGTTTTACTGCTGTTAAGTGAGGATGGCAGTCCTGTTTCCTTACAACACTTAAAGTAAGAAGAGAGACTAAAGAGACCTTTTAAAGATAATTTCTTTGCCAGTGCGCTAGTTTGACTTAAATAATGATTTATGGGTTGGGCAAAACATTCCACTCATAATAATCTGTCATCTTTTCTCAGTGTGGCCAGGCTAATCACGGTGTGATCGTCGTTGCTTATCCAGATGGAAGCCCCGCCCATGTTCACATGATGGACAGAAAGCTGTGTGAACAGTACTGGCATGACTGGACGGGCAGGCTCTACAATTACTACCAGCTGTCCTATACGCAAAAGATTGGCAATATTTCTGCTAGTGGGATGTAGTCATTTTTCTTTGAAATTAAAGTATTTCACAATGCCTTCCAAGTGATAAGCTGGGCAAAATCATGTGAAGAAATACACAGAAATATAGTTTACATTTTTCTGTAAAGAATGCAAATTTTGTTTGTATAGCTGTACAGTAGTCTCTAATTAAATGCACGGTGCTCACGTTTACAGGAATCTGCATATTTTAGTGACATACCATGGGGGGGGGGTGTGTCAGGTTAATTTTGCCGATAATGTGACGGACCGTGACTGTTTTATGAAGGTTTCCCCAATCCCAGTTATGACTTTTAACTTATTTTAAGCCTTAAAATGGTAAAAAAAAAAGCAGAAAGACCGACACAGTTATTGATGTACACTAATATGTCACAAACAGATAAGACGAAACTGTAGGTGATAGTCGTAGGGAAGAGCGCTCAGCCATGTGGCTTTCCGAATGACCACTCCTGACTGCCTGTCATCTATTGCAACTCAGTAAATGCATCATGTATGACATCAGAAATTCTGAGAGACTTTTCTGTAGCGATTCATTGAAGAAGTACCTTATAAGTTCTTCAAGTGCCTAGTTGATCACTTGACCAATCTTAAATCCTATATGCCTATCTACACTTCTACAGCTTACATGTGTATTGCGCATCATATTTATAGGCCCCACTAAACATAGTCACCAAAAGACCCGTGAGAAACCTCTCAAAGATGCATTTTAAGTGACCAATCAAAACACATTTCAGTCATTCCCCCAAATATATACCTCACCCAACCATGGAACTATGCGTCCTTGGACAGTAACGCTCTTCATCACTCTCTTTGTTCTGCGTGAGGGGCAGTCTCGCCAAATATCTGGTTTTCTAGACTTGTCTCATGCAAGCTGTGTAGGTTGTAGTGTAAATTTCCCTTTGTCAAGCTTTTCCCCTGTCGTGTTTTGCTGAGTGAAATGTGCGTTTGGAAGAACTGACCATGTGTTTGTATGTCTAAATTTTATAGTAAAAAACCTGTCATATGACAAAAGCATGCATTTGACTAATTTTTGCAGAGCGTGTCTTTGTATGGTGTACGTTTATCTGGAGACTACTGTGTTGTGTAAATATTTTTTTATGGATGTCATGTACATTATTTGTATATTAGTTTTATTTTGTTATCCAATTATTGCTGATTCAAGTTTCTTGTAAAGTCATTCAGTGATAAGGTTCATTGTTGACTGATCATTAGACGTAATGTTTGCCGACATATAGTTAAACCCAACTGTTGAAGCTCTGTTGAAAAATGTATCTGTTTTTTACTCATAAATAGTTCAAATGAAGTTTCTGTGTGTTGTTACTGACATACTTGTTGTAAGCACTGCCTCCAAGTTATATTTGTTATGATGCAATAAAGGTTATTCAATGATCTTCTAGCAAATGTTCTCTTCTATAGCACTTTAGCCATTTACTGTTTTTTTAAAGACCCTACTGTTACAACAAAATCATGATAATGATTTTTACAGTTTCATTATGAAGAGTCGCCTAACCTATGACCACCAAAATATTCTGCTCAACATCCCATTCTCAATGGTGGAAAAAGTCAATAACAAATCTACTCAGATTTTCATTTTCAAGAGTGGGTTTATTAAAGTTGATTTGTATCACAAGTACGATGAAAATCTACTCGTGAAAACATTTGACTTATCAAGCCATGTCTGTTGTAGAGAACAGGTACCGTACTGTAAATAAATCAGCAGCAGTTTCAAATCAGTATCAGCAGCAGTCTTGAATTATGAAAAATACAAAAAAACACTCATGGCAATACAGAACAACAAGGTACAAAACATAAGAAGCAATTGCAAGAGCATTGTCAAAAGTGGGTCCAGGGTTGTGTTAGTATTTGATTTTCTTTATGTGTGATTAAACTTCTCAAGTGGAAAAGCCTTTTGTCAAAGTCACACTGATTTTACAAAATTCACAAAAAGTAATATTTACTATGCTTTCCACAGCACAGAACAGAGGGAAGGGTTTATTTTCTTATTGCAGTGCACTTGGCTCCACTTTAGAACATCACATTGATCATTGTTTACAATCTTTTCTTTTTTTTTAAATTTGCTTTTTACATAATATTTAAATATGCGAGATTTCAGTTTAACAGGAACAGTCACTTTCCAATAGTGCCAAATGGTGCAGTACTGCTAGAAAATTAAGCTAAATGCAAGAACAATAAGGCAGCCAGTTCCTGAAATTAACATGAAATTCCTGATACCACAAAAGGATTTAAAAATCTCCAGATTTTATTTCTACCTTTGTACTCTATGCATCGCAACTTCCTTTAACGTGAAATTCTGTGGTCGTGTGAAGTCTGTGTCATCAGGGTTTAACTAGTTTTTCTGATGCTCTTTCCCTGGACACCAGTTTTGACAAATGCTCCGCAGTTGATAATACTATTTATTGTAATTGAAATATTATAAACAAATACTTGTGAACAGCAGCAGATGAAAATTGATCTTGTAATCTATCACAGTATACTTTTGTGGTGTGAAGTAAGATGTGTACATTGCTAACCACGGACGGACATAGTTTTGATTACATCAATGCAAGGGCTGAATAATCATTAGATCTACATTAATTATATAATGAGAAATAATCTCAAACATTTATCACACAAGGTAACATAACCAACACTTTTTCCTGTGACTGTCTAGTCTCACATTCTGTGATATGCCATATATATAAATCATGTTTAATGTGAGCCCATAAAACATTGTCACAAAACCATAATATGGAAGTTGCAGTTGTATTACATGACATGCCTAATTCTCTGAGTGGCAAAAGCACTGGTTTTTAAATACATAATATAAAAACATGGTCACAAGTAAATCAAAATTTGATTGCTAGAGGCATAATGATATGTACTTTTTTATGTTTTAAAAAGTACCTGCTCTATGGCAACAACAACAAAAAATACTGCAGTTGTGAAACTGACAACACACCCCTGCCGTGCAGATTAAGTGAGAGCTCATACTTCATGTAATGTACTTCACATAATAATGTTCTCTTGTACTTCATAGTGCTCTTTTTCATCTGATCAGACCAGAAGCAGGCTTAACATTTGGTTATTTGATAATGGGTTCACCTTTACACCTCGTTCAACCATGCTGTTGATATTTTGATTTTCAGTTTGTCAAATGAAAAATCACCAGCATCTGGTGCAATTTGTAATTAATTGGAATGCATTATCTTGCAAATATGCAACTATGGACACTGAACAAAAAATTGCTCTCTGCTAATTTCTCAATCAAAGACTAACACTGATGCTCAATCATAATGAGACAAAAACTAGCACGGAATGATTCACACATTGTAAAAGATGTGATGATGGTATAAAGATAGATTTGGTTGAAACCAAACCCTCATTTATCAAGGGCTGGCTGAAACTATTACTATGTTATGTACACACATGACTGTATGAACTTTGATACTAGACAAATATCATAGTTGGTTTGAAAAGTTATATGACACACTGAAAATTGACATTAAATAATTAATGAATGTATCAGAATATTACTCTGTGAAATACAGTGGCCAATCTTTTGGTAGCATAGAAATGCAGATAGGCAATCTTTCGATGTACTCTGAACAGAACTATGTGATAGTGAAGAGTATAAGCCTAGTCTTTTAAGATAAAGTCATGCTGTTGTTATCAAATTATCCTTCATGCATGCATACATCATTCTCTCAGTCTTTGCTTTACAATCCTCACACATGTATTCTACTCATCCAGCTGACAAACCATAGCCACGCCTCTGAGAATCCAGAAGTCCTCTGGCTGCTCTGAAGGCAAATTCACAGAAGTGACAAAGTTTGTGGAGTGACCTGTTGATGAGAGAGTTCCTGCTCTTTCTGACGTCCGGTATAGTGGACACTCGTAGGAAACCTTCTCTGGCTTTGGTGCATTCTTTGTCTGTTTCTGAGACTGGCTGGGTAGTTCTTCTATGGTTCTTTCCCGAGTGGAGGCAGACACAATGTCACGGTTCTGAGGGCACAAATAATTCTTTCAACAGTTTGCACTATGACTATGACATAGGGTGGAAAATGTGGTCTTCTTGATTTACTGGTGGTACAAAGATTTCTGGACTTGCGCAGAAACAAAAAAAATGTGCTTGATTCACCACTTACCCTGTTATGCAAGAAACAACAAATGAAACATTCCATATTCCCAGATGCGTAGAATTTGAAAAAATTTTGCACCTAATAAAAAAGAAACCTTTCAAAGGTTAAAAGTAACGCAAGTTATTAACAATAAGTACAACGAATGGTTATTTATTTAGAGACTTAAAGTAACACAGGAAGCAAGCAGGGAATAGGATTAACTAAACACAATTGCATATCACCTAAAGCTAAATCATCCGTTTGAAGAAAAATAATCATGAAATTAACATTGAAATTAAGAGACATCTTCCAGTTTTGCATTGATACCATCAACTGAAAAATGGTGTTTTACCTTTAGGGGTTATGGAGGTACCAGTAGATTTTTATTTTTTTGGTAACCTGGTAACATTATTACATTTTATGAAACATTACACCCTTTCTAGACAACACGTTTGAAAAGAACATCTACCAAAGTGATTTTTCTTCAGTATGGCAGTTTATGAAAATATTAGGCTACCTCTTTATGTTTTCAAGTTTATTTTTTGTTTAAAAACCCTTCATTTTTGCTAACTGCTAATATTATATATCTTCGTAACAAATGAACATAATATAATAACATTGCAGTTTTGTTCAGGAACTCCTACTACTCCTAGTGCCAGTCTATAGGAGAGAGTTAATGAACCTCCTCACGAAGCTGAAAAAATGAGTAGGCCTACAAAGTTGGAATTTTAGGGAATACTGGATTATATTGGATCTTTCATTCACACCACAATCAAAATTCTATTGAAAAAACTGCACTTCTTTTGGAAACAAAAAGTCCATCATGGTGAACTTTTGTTACTTCTCCATCTGATTAATCTCATCCTATTAAATATTTCAACCAATGATGATTTAAATGTCTATCCATCTTTTCTTCCACCAAACCCCCAAACTCTCCCTAGAAAGTACTAGAACAAAAGCAAGTGAGCCTGCATACAGGACTTTGCAAAAGTAAATGCCATGTTCATGTCCCCCACGCACCATGGTATTGGGTCATCCTGCTGATCCTCACAATAAGTGAAGTAAAGTTGTTCCCGCATCCGATCCGGACATTGGGAATTGCCTTGTTATTGTTAGTGAGACAACTTCCTGGGACGTCGGCATATTGTGGTAGGGTGGCTAGTTCCTTTCCAGGCTGCCTTTACTTCCCCCAACTCGAAGTCATTATTGCTGGGTGGGGAGGAGGGGGCGAAAAAGATCCATGCCCGAACTTAGGCTCGAACCCGAACTTTCCGCTTCGGAGATGAGCGCACTAACCACTCCGATAAGAACCTACTGGCGGCAAAATCTGTGCTGAGACCTACCTCCACAGGCTCAAAGTGTATTTCGGGTACGCTGCAGAATCGGCTGTCTGTGGCACAGTCCTGAAGAGAGTGGCTGACGGGGTCCCAGCGAGCACCATCGAGGTAAAGGCCATTGATGAGAACCCCATCCTCTGGTGATGCGCCCTGGAGATTGGCAGAGAAAAGATGACATCAGGAGTATGTAGTGTGATACCATTATACTAAGCCTGAAGTTTTAATTTTTTAAAAGTTTTAGCAAGAGTTTTACAGCACTTGTAAAATAAATAGGTCAAATATACATTTATATATATTAT